TTCCAGAATTACCAAGGGAGCATGGGAATACTTTAGAATAAATAGTTGTCCATCTTTAAAAAAAACAATAGATACAACAGGCCTCTATTTAAAAACAAAGCAAAACAAACAAAACCCAAAGGGATAAAATACACGTGGAAAAGAAGAATATGTTATACATACTCAAGCTTAGCAATGCATGAACAGAAGATAAAATAAACTTAAAGAAAAAAATATGTTTTAGAAACAATAATAAAAAAGACAGTCACATTTGAAAAAGTAAGGGAGATGATGATACCTATTTATTGAGAAATCATACAATATGAAATAAGTGATGAGCTCAAAATTACAGAGTAGTGAAAGTGGAATTGAAACAGAAGACAATATAACTGATGTATCTGAACAAAAAAGGAGTGAAACAAAAACATGTTTAAAGATAAAACAGAAGAAAATGCTCTTGAAAGAGTGATGATTCTTTTGATTGACTGGGTTTGTTATAGGAATATTAGACACAGAATGATCAGACCAAGATACTAGTATTCATATATTAAAAGGTCATTGCAACCAAGAATAAAAAATATTCCATAAGCCTCAGACTTCACTACCATACACCAACATAATAGATGATTTTCATTCTGGTCTGAGATAAAGAAAATATGAACCCATAATGTAATAACTAGCCTCCAATTAGAGGTAATGGACAAATACAGGCACACTAGGGTCTCTCTAAGAATCAAGTCAGTGATTAAGACCAGGCAAGCATGAGAAGTAACCAGTACTTGTCTTTCACTTTAAAAATCTGTGTTATCTTAAGACATTTTAAATATTTCATAGTATGGAAACAGTTGGAATAGACAAGACACAACAGAACACATTTTTTTTAGCCTACTATTTAATCAAAACATATGGCGCAATAAAAACATGATGTTTAATAATAATTAAATGGGACTCTGCATAAAATAGCTAATTAGCACCAGGTGCAGGAAACATTAAGAACATGTAGGAGGGAGATGATCACCTCAGGTCACGGGGTAAAAGCTTGTCCAAAGAAGAAAAGCTGCAGGGAATAAAAGTATAAGTTTCCTTCTAAGACTTACTCAGGACGCATTTTGCAGAAAAGTGGATCTCGACATGAAAGGATTCATATACAATACCTACCAGCTTCCTGATTAAAACAACACGATTAGAATATTTCCAATTTTAAGTTAAATTTTATACAGCACATTTAAATGTTTCAAGGTGGAGTAGAGAGCAGTGATGTCAAAATTATCAGTTGCATTACTTTTTAAGTAACGTCTGCTTTATAATTGCCCTGAAATAATGTTTTTAGTCACTCATTTTTATTGGACTTCTTGGTGGCCTCAATAAAAGAGAGCAGGTTATAACAAAAATTCCTTTAAATTTAAAACAGAACTTTCTCAAATGCAGATAAATTTAATTTTTTCTTTAAGTAGTTAAAATATTGAAAGAGTACCCCTATAGATTTCTATTTAGAATAGTGACTTCTTTAAAATAAAACTTCTTAAAGGATAAGGAATACTGCCAACAATACGTACAAACTCAATTCCATTCTTTTATGAGAAGGAAACATTCTTTTGAGTCACTGAATTAGAAGTTTTCATAAAGTTGTGTATTATCAGTTTATTTCTGATATTTAAAACAAGTTTCACTTCATATACTCAGCTTGTCGTTCCCTACTGGAGGCAATCAGCTCCTAGCATATGGTATAAAGACAGAGAATGGAGTGGGGCTCTGCTTCACAAGCAAGGCAGCTGGTAGATTTGACAGTTCTTTTCCAAATTACTCATCATGTTTTGAGTTGCTGCTTGGAAAAAATGTGTTGCCCAACTCCAAAATAGATGTTCCTTTTTTATTTTAAGCTCAGGAAAAGCTTCCAATAGAAAATAAAACAGATGGGTATAGGAAGCAAGATATTTATCCCTATTTGGACCATTTTCTTCCGTCAATTCCCTCATCAGAAGAGTTTTCCAAATAAACAAATGAATATTTCAGCATTCATCATTAACCATGTCATAGGTTATACTTGAACTTCTCATATAAATGATGTATTTGAAAGAGTAAAAAGCAAAGCCCACCTAAAGGACTAGTGGATTTTGAATGATTAGTGTCATTTGTCTGGATATTGTAATCGGCAAGTATGGGAGTGGGACTAACAGCTCTCTGAGACCTTGATGGCATTTCAGATGAGTGAGTGAAATCTACGGAATACTGTCCTCCTTAGCCAGCTGATTGTCTTCTTTCAATATTTCCTACAAAGGGATTCACTAAAACAAGACTTGTTGATACATTCTCAAAAGTACAGGCCAGAGGTGTTTATTCCAACTGTAAACTGTACCATGTTACCAATTCTTTAACTCATATGCTGCTCATAAATGCCATAATTTGAAGACAAAACTTCTGGTTTGTTGGTTTACAATGACTTCTAAATTGGCTTCTTCAAAGTCTACCAACTTTCATCCAGTAATGTAATATGGTGATTGATTACTGAACTGTAAGTTTGTAGAATCTGCATATATTTCTTTTTTTTAATTTAATTAATCAATTTATTTATTTATTTTTATTGATGTAACACTGGTTTACAACACTGTATATGATTTAGGGGAATAGGTTTATACTCCTTCAGAGATATGTCATCACAACACCACCACCATGAAAGCACCCACAGTCCTTTATCATAGATCACTGAGTCCCCTCTAACCTTAGCTCATTTCATTTTGGAAACTTTAGACAGAAAGTAATCCCTGATTTTTTTTCTAAGTTGTATAAACTTGGAACACATTATTTCACCTAAATGATATTGGAATTAAAAGCTATATTTTCCCCCTCTTTTTGTGGTTTCTACCTTGTAGAATAGTATTCATGTTATTATCAAATGTTAAAAAGCTTGATTTTCAGTCCATAAAATATTAATATTAATGTAATTTTCTAATATTTGAATATTTAATTCATTATTTTAATTGATTTGTACCTACTGACCTTACTATAAAAGTTAAAATGTGTATAGTTCATGAATTCAAGCTGATATAAAAGTTGTTGCAAAGAAAAAGCAGACTAATTTCCTCATTATCAGTTTTCTCTATGATGAGCCAATAAAAGCATTTAACAGTAGTTGTCAAGTTTAAAGTCTCTTTCTTTATATTTCTGAACATTGTCATAAGACATTTGAGATAGAGTTATGAAATGACAGACTATCCCAGAAAAGTACAAGGTGTCAAGATTCTATTCTTTAGTTCCAATCTAATGGGAATTTAAGAAATCATTTCAAAGAACAACAAAAAAATAGAAATAACTTTTGAATTGCTTTGAAATGACAAATTCGTCTCAATACTCTCTGCACATCATATTTTTCAATCAATGTATTTTTAATTTATGAATTTGAAATAGATTGGAAATCATTGACATATTGTTCTGTTATAGGAACTTATGAAAAAACATAAATCAAGTGGTCATGTTTATTAGCTTATATATAAAAACATAATTAAATGATATTTTATATTAATTATCAATATTATTACTATATTCTTTCCTTTCTCTTCTTAATTTTAGATTCTATTCCATAGACATGTAATTATTATTATGAATTCCTACAAGTACAAAAATGAAGTTTAAAAATTACGACATATCCCCTAATTTTCTAACATTAATTGTAAAAAAAACATGCTCAATTTAATAGTTGTTTTAAGAAAAATATCTGCAGTTCAAATTCAAATTAAGGATAACGCATAACTATTTCAAAAATATTAAAATGTAAAATAACACATTTTAGAAACTAGAAATGTTAATCAACGCTGATGTACAAACATTTTCATATATATGATAAATCTTGAACTCAATTCACTCCTGCAATGACTTTGATTTGTATTACCCTCTTGATTTTATAATATAAAGTGGCTGATATTCAGGTTTATTAAATAACTAGCGAAGGAAGTACCACATAGAAATAAAAGAGCAGAACAATAGCTTGAGACACCAAAATTCTATGTAATATTTTTGCTACCCATGTGAAAGTATACTACATAATAATAATATGTGTTACTGTTTCAACCAATGGGGGGAAATATTGTGTTTGGACCAACCCATACCAAACATCAATAAAGTCAAGCAACTTTATTAAGAAAGATTTTAATAGATAAGCAATTTATAAAGATGTATAAAATTGAATATTAGTAAAGTATTTCTTGGTATATTAAAGAAGCTATGTAGTAAATTCATTCATTCATTCATTCATTAATCCACTCATCCATCAAATTACTTACAATGGAATTCCCAAAATTTCTTTTTTTTTAAACACATTTATTGGTAAATTAAGCCAAACTTGAAAGGAGATTCAGAAAGGTTATTAAATCAATGAATTTAAAAAATTTCCAAATGTTTACAAATAATTACCACTTAAATTATTGCAAGCGCAAGCTGTTAACTTCAATTTTGCAAAGCCAAATGAAGGATGAGCTATATTAAAACCACAAACTTTTCATGCCAAAGAACACAGCTCCTTCCTTCCTTTTCCTCTTAGTATTATATCTACTGACAACAACTCAGTCTTCTAAATTTTATTTAATTAGGCATGCAGACAATAAGTATGCAGCAATTAAAAATACCCTTAAAAAGCTGGGATTTGAGCAGCTTAAAATAGAAGAGCAAAAAACAATGAAATTCATTAATTTAGTTCATAAGCTTTTATCTAAATGAATATAAAATATAACCAATAATTGATTATTTCATACATAAAATAAAAAATGGAGGTAGTGAAAATTAAGAGCTATCAACATATTTTTAACATGAAAATTGTTACCTCTTCATTGCTACATAGCAAAGGTTACTACAAAGATGGTTTATCAAACTGAATAAAAGATTAGGAGCAACTTTTATAGCAGGTAGTCCCACAAGTAATATTTTAACATGGGTGAATACATACATTTCATTCTGTCAAATCCTACTATGCATGAGTTATGAAGCATTGTACAAAGCCATGCTAAATGGATAGAAGGATGGCTACTTACCAACAGGGCGAGCTGTAGACATTACAATGGTGTGGTGAGAACATAAAAAAGAAATTAAAAAAAAAAAAGAAAGAAAAGAAAATTATCAGAATGCATGATGTGTAATGCTACATTTAAGTATGGACAGTAGAGTGATTTCTAGTCTCATAATTCAAGTATGAACAGGATGTCTGAATTTGACAAAGCTGAAAGTTACAAATATAATTCTAAGAATATAATTATTTTGCATCCCAGGACTGACAATAAGCAATTTTAGAGCTATTTTATGCAAAGTCTTATCATAGTCACTTACTATAGCTATTATTTCAAAGATCTTTTTAGAGTTAAACAACCTCGTGTTACACCAAAGTTAAGAACCTGATGAATATAACTATTCAAGTCACAGACCAGCAAATGTCATGTCAATAAAAGAAGGCCTCACTGTCTGATTTAAATAGCAATTGGATTTTAAGCATGGTTAGTCAGAACCATTACAAGAACTACAGAAAAGCCCCTGACGCTGCTTTTCAGCCAGTAATAAGTTAAGATCACATCACTTTTCATCCGTGGACAGGGTGGATGAAAATATAACAAATAGGTTGGAACATCCTTAGAGATTTCAACTGAGTAGCTTGCTAACTACTGCTAAGTTTTTTGTTTTTTTTTTTTTTTTTGTATTTTTTTGGCAGAGGGTAGGAAACAATGACTGACAAGTTGATTCTTGTTCACACTGAGAATGGCTTTCAAACTGCTGTTTCAACAAATTATTTTTTTATTATACCGTAACTTTCAATCACTAAAATCAGTAGTAGTAGGCTATAATATTAAAGAGAAAGAAAAGAAAAAACATGGTACTAAGTTATGTTTTAAAAACAAATGAAGTTTATTTATTTTACTTAGTCTAGGAAAATTTAAAAGAAAAGTAATTTTTTGTTTTAAGAAAATATTTTCATTTTTCCAACGAAGTATTTATTCATACAAAACAAGTTCAAGCAATTGAACAATGGGGAACAATTGTGCTTACAATTGAATGCAGTTTGTGTTAACTCACTTAGGATCAATTTTTAAGAGTTCTATTAGAGTATGACTGATTTGATTAGAGTATAAATGCTAGGATTGTGTTGTCCTCTAGCATTATTGTAGCATAGAAATTGTAAGAGATACACATGGCCTTAATAATATTTTCTTTAAAAAGAATCATACCAAATCAATTTAGACAGTAAATCATTTTATATAAAAGCAAGGGGCAAATATAAAGCAAAGTCCACTGTCCAATTGAGGAAGAAATGTATTTAGCGGCATTTAAACTTTTTATGAAAACTTACATTCAAAATATGTGTTCAAAAGTGTTTTGACAAATTCCAGTGGAAAAGTCCTAGTGCACACAGAATGTGACTCTAGAACTTATAGGTAGTTTGTCTGGATATATCTCCAGCAAGGTGGGCTAACACAGCCACTGAAACCACACTTACAGTCACTTACTATAGTGACTTTGAATTCACTCAAAAAGTTCATTATAATAATAGTTTTGTGCAATCTCAATAAATAAATAAATAAATAAACAAACAAACAAACAAATAAATAAATAAATGCTTGCGTTTCTCTTATGTGAGATCCATGGTCTTGTAAAACAATTACAGCAGTCCTATGGGAATTCCAGCTTAGTGACATTCTAGTGTGCCTATCCTACAGTATACACGGGTTTAATGGAACGCAAGGTAATTGAGAATTTGCTCCATGCACGATTTCTTTCTTGTTTTTTATGTTGGAGGGCACATAAAAATAACAGCCAACAACAACAAATTACAGACTAACAATGTGAAGTTGTGCCTTATTTTAACTGATGAGATTCCTCTTAATTTTGCCAATGTCCAGTAGAAAAATAAATTTGTTTTTCATTTTTGAATTTGCATTTCTTAGGTGGCAACTCAAACTGAACCCCAAACATAATGTTTCCTTTAGAAAACACAAGGTATGTTGAGTCTATAATATTAAAGAGAGAAAAAAGAAGAAACTGTGGCAAGAAATCATGTTTTAAATAAATCAAATGTATATCTTTCACTTAGTCTATGGTAATTAAAAAAAAAAAATAAGGTCTTATTGCCATAGAAAAAAGCTAGTTTTTCAGATGAAGGCTTTATTTTTTGAAAGTCAGTTTAAGCAATTAAAAAAAAAATGGGAGAATTGTATTTCCAAATATGGAGTTTGTGTTCTCCTTGTGGGATCCTTTATAAAAGTTCTATTACAGTGAGGCTTAATTTGATTAAAATATGAATGCTGGGAGGTTTGTTGTTGTCTAGCACTAGTTCTTTCTAATTTTTATGTTGGTCAAGTCAGCAAAGGGAACTACTTGCTATTAAGATTAATTTACTGTCCCTTTTTACCACTTGTTTGAAATCGAGAACAACTGGAGGATCTCTATTGCAGATTTTTTACTACAAAGTTTGGTTGCTTTTACCCAGTTGGCTAAAGAGAACAATATGGTAAAATGTTAGCAGAAACATCACAGTAGAACTTCCTGTTTTTGTTACAGAGTAACATTTCATCCTGAAAAAAATCCAGCAGGTGGATGTTTTCAAAGTCAGCAAATTAAGTTAAACGGTGTCCCTGCATAAATGGATGAAAATGAAAATAAGACTCTTGTGTGTGTTGATCTCATTCTAATAAAACAATCCAAGAAAGGGCTGAGTATTTCACTTTTGAGCATAGAAAAAAAAAGTCATAGATAATGTATCAACCTTTTATTATGAGAAATACCAGCAACATTTGTACTGGTTAAAAAAAAATTACATCCCATTATATAGTATAAGGAGATTTTTTTCTTTAGGCCTGTTTTTGAGATTTTAGTCTTAGGTGAATGATAAATACATGCTACACAGATAAAACTCCAATCCATCTAAGGACACAGATTAGGGGAAAGTCTGTTTAAGTTTTGCTGATTTTATATCAATTCCTATTAAAAGCAAATAATTCTTTCTATGAGTTCTGTAAGTTAGTTTTAAACATTCATGCAGAAGAAGGAGGAGGCCTATTTTAAGGAAATGTTAAGCCTGAAACTTTCAACAAATTATGAAAACAATTAGCTGGGAAAGATCATAAAGCAAACAGATCACTTCAAGTCTCATTCACCCAAACATTCAAATATAAAAGGAAGCCCCACTGCTTCCAAAAACAACTCCTCACATTTTCTCACCATTTGCTTAGTCAGCAAATATGTTTTGAATGAAAATTTCCTTAGCTGATTGTTCTGTTTTGTTTTTCCCCAGTCACTACAGAAACAAACAAACACCCTTTGGGGGAAATTTGGTCAAGCGAGTTGTTTTTGCAGAAGAGTGTCTAGACAACTGCAAACAAATAGATTTGAAAATACATGTAAATTACAAAATGTCTCTTAATGAAAAGAATACTCAAATAATTAGCTCATCAGTTTGGTCTGTAGTCTGTATTTATTTTCTATCTAAATCTGCATGGGGAAAACACAGATTAGGTGGAGTGGGATTGGAGTGATTGAGATGTATGAAAACCTCCAATACCTTTTTTCCAGGTCTCCAGAGTGCCTGTCTTCTAATAGTTACCCAGAAAAAGATGAGGGTGTATTTTTTTTTTTTTTTTGATGCCCTAACCTTAGATTTAGAACACTTTTCTTACCAGAGGAAGAACCAAGCTGGAAATCCCTGACTCATTTCTCCCTAATTCAAAATCCTCTAAACCCTAATCCTAATCTTACGAAATTTTCTGGGAGCAAGGGTTAAGAGGTGAGATGTAACTGAGCGCTGGAAGAAAACAGACAACCATACTTATGAGGAATGAAAGGAGGAGGTGTCCATTAGGGTGGTGAAGAAAGGTTAAAAGACTGAGCAACAGGCGATGCACTTGCCCATCTGTGAAGTCCTGCGTGTATAAATGATGCCATGGGTAACGTCTATTGGCAAGAGTAACTGTCTACATGATATGACTTGGTACCTTGGGCTATTTAATTTACTCATGTGGATCAACATGTTCCACCAGGAAGGCAGTTAATTCATTCTAACTTACTTTAGGGTTAAGTAATGCTTTCTTTCTCTTACAAGCAATTCCAGTGAGTCTGTTAAAGAACATTATTCTGTGACTGAGAAGGTGCATGACATCTAGAAAGTGAAGTTATTACAGGAGCAGCACTGACTATTTCAATTATTTAAGGCCAATGAACTTCAGGAATTACTCTTTAAATCAGATTATCTCGATGAAGGCACTCCATTCATTTTTCACTGTTAGAAACAGTGTTAGCTCTATTTTTTTTTTTAGGTAGCTTTTCAAATGCAGAAATAAAAAAAAATGAAATTCAAAACAGTACTCTAGTAGGGTAAAGTGTCAAACCAGCAAGCCAAAACCAAGCAGCTTTGAAACTAGTGGTATTTAAAAGCAGTGAATAGTTCAAAGCAGTGAAAATGCAGATTAGTGTAAAATACCTTCTATTTTCAGACATACATTTATACTATATAAGCTATTACTTATTAAATACAAATCCCATCAAATGATGATCCTTATAAACCCAAATTTAAAAGTAATTATATTTCCATTAGTAATAGAGCAGACATAAAATCTAGGCTTTTTAATATAATAATAAAACAGCTTAAGCTATTGTTTTGATTGTGAATTCACTTACCAATAACCACAAGTAGTCTTCCACTTCAATTATGTCTCACACCCTAAGTCTCTTACCTCGCACTGTGAGGGTAGCTGAGGCCTCCACTTTTCCAACACGATTTTCAGCAATACACATGTAGGTGCCTTCATCTGTACTCAGGGCCTTTTTGATTCTTAGTGTATAGTCATCTTTGATGTCATACCTGTGTAGAATATGGACTGTCTTTATTAAATAATATAGGTTTTATTTAGAAAAATAAGGCTAAGTGTTCACCTTCCAATTTCTCTTCCTATACTGTATTTTACCTTAAACAAAATACACACACAACGTTCAACTATAAAGTATAGTTACTTACATTAAATGTGTTACTAATAAGCTCATTAACTTCATATCTGCCCCCCAGCTGTTATAGTATCAATTACTTATGTTTTGTATATGGATACAAATCTTTCTGATTTGTCATTGAGGAAAAGATCAGAAATTGTATGTTGCTTCACCATTAAAAAACAAAAAGACAGGAAATTTCATTCATGGCATCCTCAACAAAATCCTCTGAATCATGAATTGTCATTTCACAGATGAGGAAACTGATGGTCTAGTGAAATGATTTGCTCAAAGTCAATTTATCAGAGAAAACCAGAATTCAAACCTAGAACTAAAACAATCAACCTGGCACTTTCCCCACTCTGTGTGCCTTTTCCCCACAATGAAATTCTTAGTTTAAATTTCAAATGCAAACTTATGACATATGAGCCACATTAGCTACATCATTCAACAAACATTTGGTCACAATTTCTGACAAAATATTTTACTTCAGGTTAGATAAATTCATTGTATATTCAGCAACATGGGCAGCAAATAAAATGTGAGAATGAGTAATACCTTGTTTTCAAAACAAAGCATGTTCATTTAAAAATCACAGATTACAGGGCCTCCCTGGTGGTTAAACACAGCATTGAGACAGGTAATCTTTGAATTAGAAAGAGGTATTTATGTTATCATTTTCAATGATCTTACATCTTATTTGTATAGAGTGGTTCAAATGGTGCTCATTTAGCATTATTTCATTTTAACTTCCCTTCAAGATTACTGAAATTTGAGATTATAATGATGGTTTAATCATTTTTACAAGAAATATTTATGAATTACACTTTGCATGCTAGGCACTGCATTTACCATTGAAGAGACATGTCTCATAGGGCTTTCAGGCCAGTGAAATGATTCACAGATGGAACGGAGAACATTATCCTCCACATGATTGTAGGTCAGAACAACCGCTAAGTCTTTCTCCAGGTAACACATACATCTACCTAACTGCATTGTGGTCTGCATATAGCTCTGAGAATCATGTTCTTTTACCTCAACTAGAAGTGATATATTAGCTTTGCTAGGTCTTATCACACCACAGTATTACAATATAAAAACAAACAGACTTTGAGGTTTCTCAGGTATTGGGGTGTTCAGAATCCTTTAAATTCTCATTGTTCACTAGATCTTTGTGGAGACTGAATATTATCAGCTATGTGGATGTATATAAAATACTTTCTCTCTCTATATATAAAATAATTGACTCAATTAAGAACAACCTTAAGAACTCTTCTGTAACCATCCATTAACACTTAAATTCTGCCTGCAATGATTTACCAACGAGACTTCCAGCCTATTCCTATCATTGAACATCTCTATTAGAAAATCTATGAGGGTTGATGAAACAAACACCTGATGAAATAAAACATTCTTTCAGAAGTTTCAACTAATGCTACTTACTCTTTGTGCCAAAAGGAAAAGATAATTAGATAATTTGCCCAACCTTTTCTAAACACATTACCTTATTTTTCTTGCTCAACATAGCTACCTTGTTCCCACTTATCTTTGTGCTTCTACTGTAACTTCATGGATTGCCATTCTACATTTTCCATTGATCATTCTTGACTTTCAAGATAAAACACACACACACACACACACACACAAACACACACATTCCCTCAAAGATGCTTTTCCTCTCATTTATTTTGCACAATGCTTTTTCTATTTGTTGCTTTATTAAAATTACTTTTAATTCTTGTTTTCTTTATTTTTCAATTCATCTTGTTTTATTTTCTTCAAAGCTACCAAATTATTTGCTGTGTAGTTTATTGTATTCTTTGTTTCCAAGAGCATGTTTGCTCTATGAGAATAAAAACTGGTTCTCTCATTCTAAGCTATAAACCCAAGTCCTACAAGAAAGCATCTGAGATCTTGCATGTGCTAAATGAATGCTTATTGAGTGAATGATGAAAGTCCCAATACAGGCTTAAGTTTCTTCTGTAGTTCTTTCACAGAACTGTTGCAAGTAAAACAATATAATGCAGAACTAAAAGAATAACTAATTTGAAATATACCATTCTAATATAGCAAGGAACACAGTAACTTGCTAAGTTTATACACCAGCAGTCAATTCTAAAATGTAGGTTAAACTGATATTAACATAATTCTATAAATGTAAGAACCTGGGATATTTAATACATCAATGCTACCAGATGGAGATAGAGCTAAAATAAAGCAGCTAGCAAATCCTGGTCTGCCATCAAGACATTAGGTTTACATTATTATCAATAATAAATTTACTTTTGTAAATTAGTAATATGATAAAACAATCTTTCTCCCTGCATCAAAACAGCATCAAAATAAATGAAATGAGAACTATGGGTAATCTCATAGTAGGAAAACTATAGTGACCACAATTGAGGGGAGAAAACCTACATTATAGAAAACAAACAAGGATGTAAAATAATGGTTCATCATAAACAAACAAACACACAATTAATTAATTAATTAATTGATTCTGGCAAAATGTCTAAAACAAATATAAAGACTATAGGAGAGCAAAGTAAGGCATTTTGTTTTGCACAATGCTTTCAAATTTTGCAAAATTGTTTCATTATTTTGCAACCAAGTTTGTTTAACATAAAATGTTCTTTAAAATAAAATAATGACAATAAAAATAAATTTGCTTGTGTTCTAAAATATACTCTCTCATTTAACCTCAAAAGAATTCCAGCAAGTAGGGAATGAAGTTACTATTTTAAAATTAGACACATAAAGTTCAATGTGAAAACAAATCATTTAGTTTGCTCTCCCACTTTAGCAAATATGGTTAGCAGTATCTGGGACATTATTGTCAGTTTTACTCCCTGTTTGTCAAGAAAGGGATTACAGACATAAAAATTGAAAAGGTAAAGTATGTGAACTCTTCATGTGTAAAAATAATAATTTTAAAAGAATATTATTTAGGTTTATAAAACCATGAAGAACTTTTTCTTCAACTGCAATACAAAGGGTAAAGCTTTCGACCAAGAAATAGCATAAAGATTCACTTTTTAAAGTTTAAAATGTATAAATTTAAAAAGGGAAATTAAAACAAACAAGGGACATATTCCCCAAATGGTAATTTTTTCCACAATTTTTTCCTTAGTGGAATCTATGAATAAATGGTCAACATCAAAATTAAACTTTTAGAGGCTGAATTGTTATGAGAATTCAGACATTGTGAACTGGATATAGAAACTTGCACTTTTAAATTCATAATTGCTGTTTGGTCATCTATGGGCTGAAATCTGCACCAAAGCAAGTTTGAAGTGTGCCTGCGCTTTGACTTGCTATTGTTTTAAAGTTATTGGAATAACTGACATCATTTAAAATTTTTCACACACAAATATGGATTTTTCCAATCAGTCTTACTCCAAAGTACACACACTTTCTTTTATCACCACCGACATGTCGAATGCAACTGGAGACACCTGTGTCCTTTCTGACATGCTGAATCACTGCTTATGACTAGCCTCAACCTTGCTACTATCCAGAACAAACAAGACTCAAGATATTGCTGTACTGTTACCAACTGTCACAATCAAAAATATCTAAGGTCAACAAGAAGATAAACTTATAATTGTGATCAAGTTGACTCTAATCAGCAAACACTTAAGAAAGAAAATGTTTAGAGAAATTGTATCCCCAAAACTTGAAAACCCAGAATGAAGTAAGTATTTGATTCATTATTATCTTCATACCCTAGCAATTGGAGGCAAAGTAGGACAAAGTCCATTTCCCAAGATACCAAGGAAGGCAATTGTAGTCAGGGGGGAAATTGTCATAAATATCTACTCCCTGTCTTTGCTTTTTTTTTTTTTAAACATATCATGATATCTTAGAGACAATATTTTCTCCTAAAATATATATTTCACAAGAAATTATATGTCATATATTTCTACAAATTTTAGAATGTGGTCTTATATATTGTGTTACCTTCTGGATAAATTGGTATATTCTAATAGTTTCATGGATGCCACATGCTATTACAGTTGATAACTGGGGGAAATATTAATTTGACTCTAGAAAGCAAATGTGGACTGAGTAATATGAAATTATGAATTTAGTCTTATACATTTAAAGAGGTCTTTATAGTTTTTTTTTTTTAAGATTTATTTATTTATTTATACAAGCATTGGGTACAGTCAGAGGCGCAGTAGGGTGAGAGAATTTACTAAAGCAAGAGCGGAGAGAACAGGCAGAGTGACGAAGTACACTGCTGAGGGGAGCAGCGGGTGGCAGGAGAGGTCTGCGTGCCATGTGGGACCCTCTCCCGGTGGCCGGGGATGGAACAGGCGCTGCAGAGGCTGCGGGCAGCTTCGCAACAACACAGCGCTCAACTGGTGCACCACCGGGGAGGCCCGGGTCTTTACAGTTTACAAAATAGTTTAACATATGATTTAATTACAATAAATGACTGAGAGAAAAAAAAAATCTATTTCCAAACACCTTTTTGCAGAAGATGTTGAATTTGTTGTTTTGCGTTATAAAGGAAGCAAATCAGTGTCTTCTGCAGCAAGTACATTTATTTTTCAAACAGACAGCAACCCATCCCTTCCATTTTCCTGTGTGCTTAATGCTCTGTGTACATGTGCACTGGGTTGGTGTGTATTCTGTAAAAGTGAATCTGCATTTGGAACTTCAGTAACTCTAGAAACTTCTAGAAACTTTGTCAACATTTTCCTCAGCATTATTCTAAACCAGCTGTAACCCTAAGGAGGTTCATAAATGTGTTGACTGACACATATATATCATATATATATCATAAATATATATAATGTAAATATAATGTAAATATAAATATATAAATATATATATATATTATGAATCAATCAGATTTTGGTCTTAGCCTCT